GTCGAGATTTGGATTTGAGTCGCATCAATGCGCACCCTAATTTTAAGAAGGTTATTTAATTAAATCGTGCCTAAAGATACTAACGTAGTGTTATTTTGGGGAAAAGCCATGAAGTTCGCTAAACGGCCATCCCAAATTCTAATTATTTCGATAATTATTTACTAAAGGCCCATATTTATTTATTTATTTTTTCGCGGTAAGGATTGTCTCAATTTGTGAACCTCTTTTCTATCATTATTTATTTTTAAGAATTACGATGTCGCGAAAACGTGTTTCGAACCCCGTCGCAATCAATGCACCCGTGAATTATCAACACATTTTATCTAACGTTTGAGATTTGGATTTGGGTCACATAAATGCACACCCTAGTTTAGGAAGGTAATTTTTAAAATAGCGCGCCTAAAGCAACTACGTACTTTTGAATTATTTCTTCGCTACATTTGGGCTTGTTGAGACCATTTATGAGGATTATTATGGAAGGGTATGGACCAGCTATTTAAAATAAAACGAATTCTATATGAAATCATTTGACTAAATTAATGTATAAAGTTGTCCATCGTATGAACAATTGATAACTATACCAGTTAAATTAGTTTGACAAAGTAGATCTTTTGGCCCATGAATTATTAAAAGCATCCCAAAACCAACTATTCACCATATTAATGGAACGTGATCATGGCCCATTTTACATACCAAGTCTTATAACCCATTAAATAAAATATTTACAGAATTAAGTGAGTTAGATACTGAACCTTCCATAAAACAGAGCAAAACATCATGACACATAACTAAGAAACGAAATTAGAACAACTCTCCAAATTTCTTGAGCTAAATTAGCTAATTCAATGACTTGCTTCAGATTGTTATTTAAACATGCTACCACAAAATTAAACAGCACAAACATATTAGCAAGAAGGAAAATATCAAGTGCTGGAAAAATAATCTCATCTTCAGCATTGTCGTGATGCTTATGAATCAACCTCAAAAAAGTAACACCGTTTCATAAAAGGCTTAATTTCACTGTTCCGATTCGTCGCAAATGCCATCGTCGATCTATGCAAATCGGGGTATGAACTCAATGACACATGAACAGAGATTCACGAGAAAGCACAATATAAACAAAATTAACCAAAAATATAAACTGAAAGAAGCAAGAACGGACCTCAATCAGCCGTAAATTCATTTGCAATGGGAGCTATCAAAATCCAAGTACAATAGAGAGTTTCGATTTAATAATTCTGCTTGAGATCTGAACCAGGATCGGTGACTTCTAAAGGCGATATCACCAGAACCTCGAATCGGCGAACTCGAGCATCACCTCACTTTAATGATTGTCACGTAGCTGATTTCGGACTGATTTTGAAGCTATTTTCGCAGCTGGTTTCTGCTGCGTTCTGGGATGCTTTTTGCGGTTGTTTAACCGGTGAATTTGGACTGATTTTCAACTGGAGTTTTGGTTGGTGATGAAGCAGAACCGGTGGGGAGAGAAGTCGAAGAATACGGGATTTCAAAGGGGAAGGGGTCATTTGGATGTGAGAGAGTGAGAGTTTTTTTTTCTTTTCAGTTTTTTTTTAGGAAGAAGAGGATGAAGTCCAAAAACCTCCTCCTTCCGTTTTTTCGTTTTTTTTATGAAGAAAAAGGTGACCCCCTTCTTCTAATTTTTTCTTCTTTTTTTTCAATCTCTTTTCCCTTCTTTTCTTTTTCCAAACCCCCTTTTTCCTTTCCAACTTTTTCCTTTTTTTTTCCACCCGTCCCTTTCCAATTTTCCTTTTCGTTTTTCAATCCAACCTTTTCCTTTTTTCAAACTCCCCTCCTCCGTTCCTTTTCCCCACGTTTCAAAAGATGTCCGTGTATTCCTCCTCCTTTTTCAAAAGATGTTCCCCATTATCTTGGAGTTGGTGTAAGGTGTGGTGGGCTTGGATTGTTATGGGTTAGGTCCGAAAATTAGGCCTAAAAACGGGTAGTTTGAACCCAAATATTATTCTTTTGCCCGGACCCAAGAATAAGAACACGACGTTGTTTAATTAATTCTATGTAAGTAAAATAACTACCAAAATAAGACTGACATTTAAAACAAAACTATTTTTTAATATTTTTTTCAAGATTAAAATAGCTACAAAACATTAATAAAACTATTTTTGTGATTTTCGTTTTTATATAAAGATAAAATATAAAGTATTGTTTTTTTGTATGTTTTCTAAAGATTAAAATGACTACAAAACGTTAACGAAACCATTTTTTTTTGTAATTTTCGAAATTATATGAAGATAAAAAAAATACAAAGTACTAATTTTGTATTTTCAAAAGATTAAAATGGCTGCAAGATATTAGTAACTATTTTTTTGTAATATTCGAAATTATATAAAGTACAAAAATAAGGTACTATTTTTGTATTTTTCAAATTTATGAGAAACGCATAAACTAAAGTATATATATATATTTTTGTAATTTTTCTTTTTGTGACGAAATAAGGTAAAATAGTCAAAATTAGCTAAAATAGCTATATTAGACCTAAATTAAATATTTACGCTAAAAATGTGAAAATTCTTGGGAAGGGTCAAAAATCACATGTCTACACTCATCTGGACCAAGTCCACAAACAAATCATTTCTTGGCTTTAGCATTCTTCTCCCATTTTTTCAAGTCCTCGGCAGTGCAATCCGCTCTTGTCTTTGGCATATCTACTCCTTCAGCATTTTTATTCAAGGTAGCTAGTGGACCATCAGTGACAATATCCAATAGCTCATAGTCTTCTGCTATAATGTGATCTCTCATTCTGTTTTTCCACCAAGAGTAGTACTAGCTATTAAAGAATGGTGGCCTAGTAGCAGATTGTCCTTCCCAGTTCCAGGTGGTGCACTTATGTTGATCTTCTCCTAAGGTGTAAGCCTCTTCAATGATAACCTGCTCTAATACCAATTGATATTTTATACTTCAATACCACACAACAGAGGGGGTGCCTTGTGTGGTGTCCAATTTTTTACGTGTACAGATTATTGAAGGACTTGGTTCTTTTATGTGTTCCTTATACTACTATTGCGGAAATAATAAATGCGGAAGCTAAAGAACACAAGTATTTTACGTGAAAAAAATCCGGCTCAAAAGGTGAAAAAATCACGACCTACTACTTAGTAGGATTTTTTCCAACACTTCGCTAAATCACTAAGCCAAAATAACATTTACATAACACTTTGTAAACCTAAGGATTACCTCTAATATCGTTATAGCAACCAGCCTCTAACTGTTGCGATAACTTCAAGTGAACTCTAACTTGAATACACTACTCAGAGTACCTAATACAATTGCTTCTAGATAAAGCTGAAAGGTACAATTTGGAAACACCTACTACAATGAAACTAAAATAAAAGACAGACACGTGGAACTGGTTCTTCTATCTGGTTCATGTAGCTTCAGGTTCGCACACTTGAATCACATAAGAATTGCTTGCAAAATGCCTTGCTATTTTGCTCTTAACTCACGTTTAACTTCAGCGTTTGTGCGTACCTGTAAAATGAGAACATCCTGAAATATATAGAGTTAGTAGAATATGAAATAACTAGAGTTCCAATGCTATACTCTTCCTTGGTGGAAGAGTTCTAGTTATCTTCAACTTCTAACTCCTCTCTTATCTTGGATAAAGTTCTTTTCAAGTAAGGTGTCTTTCTCCTTATCACTTATGAAACCTTTCCGATAAGGAGATATCAGATATACTAACTTAAGTTTATCTCCTTCACTTGCATGCCTTGTGATCGAATTCTGCCTGTGTCTGTGTTCACTGTATATGGACCTAGTTCATGCTTGAGTTCCTTTGTCAATCAAAACAAACTTTACTTGGGCCAACAATTAACCTCATTACTAAATTTCTACCCATACGACTTGCCTTAAGGAAAACTAGAGGAGCATAGCAGTTACATTATATAATTATGGTCATTGTTGGCCATTGTTCCGATTGAGCATTCTCTCTTATTTGTCCATTTTTTCGCTTTTTTTTTTTTAAATTAAAGAGAACTTTTACTTCATCCTAATTTAGATCAAGGACATATGGACACTTTTAATTAAAAGTAGTGCTGTTTAACTGTGCAATATCACAAGTCCATGAATCATACTCTGTTTCACGTTTTGGTAATGTCGGGAAAGTCAACTTTGCACCTTTATACGCTCATGTCCTCTTAGTCTTCAACAAACCATAAGAATATTGGTTTTCTTGGGTCCCTTTCGTTTGACTAATATGATAACAAGTCCTAAAATGTCATACTTTCTTAACTTCCTGTATTTTTCAAACAGGTGGAACGCTGATCTTGCTTTATTAATTTAACTATTTCTATACAAGAAATAAATTATCGAAAGTTTTATTGATCTTATTGATTTTGTTTGCTTTAACTCTGTCAAACGTTAAAAGACATGCAATAGAGTCTCCGTGTTAGGTAACCTGCCGAGAGCAATCACCTTGAGAAAGCATTCTCTAGTCTCTACAATTTCCCTATAAATACGTGATTTATTTCTCCTTACCATGCAGTGCACCACACTTCTTCCCTTATAAGTAAAATTTCTTCAATGGCTTCTTTTAAGACTGCCATAGTTTTGTTTTTCCTAGTGAGCTTAATGGGAAGCTCCTCAGCTCAACTAACCACTGGGTTTTATTCCAAATCATGTCCTAAGCTCTATGAAACTGTGAAATCTGTAGTGCATTCTGCCATTCAGAAGGAAACCCGTATGGGTGCTTCCCTCCTTCGCCTATTCTTCCACGATTGCTTCGTCAATGTAAAACTACTCTCTTCATTTTTAGCCCTTTTTCGTATAAATAATAGTATAATTCTTTATATCGAGTATATATGTAGTATAAACACGAGTGCGACTAATTTTTATTTGTCAATCTACTGTTGGTGATGTATAGAAACTAGGCACGAAATGTTAATTATAGAGCGCTGTATATGACCATTAAGGTTAAAGTATTTTCTGTTGCCAAGTGTCCTAGGATTGATCGTGATATCGTTTGCAAGTCTATGTTTCACAAGTTGACTACTAATTTGTTGCTGAGTCCTTATTAGTAGTAGAAGTTGTCTTTTTCTGTCTCCAGGCATTTAGAAGGTCTTGGTCTCGATTATATCGATAAGTTAGGTGTAGTACACCTAATTGGTAAACTCATAATTTGGTCACGTTTACATTATTTTTTTATGCCTTTTGTCTAAATTGCTTAATGTACTTATTTCAGGGATGCGATGGATCATTATTCCTGGATGATACATCAACCTTCACAGGGGAAAAAAGGGCACAACCTAATTTCAATTCCGCTAGAGGATTTGAAGTTATTGATGACATCAAATCTGCCGTCGAAAAAGTGTGCCCTGGTGTTGTCTCTTGTGCTGATATTTTGGCCGTTACTGCCCGAGACTCTGTTGTCATTGTAAGTTGTTGATGTTATTAATTACAACAATTGTCATTGTAAACCTCCTTTTGAATTTTATGCTAACAACGAACAGTTGTTGTATATAATATTGTAGCTTGGAGGGCCTAATTGGGATGTAAAACTCGGAAGAAGAGATGCCAGAACAGCAAGCCAAGCTGCCGCAAACAGTAGCATTCCTCCTCCAACTTCTAACCTTAACCGGCTCATCTCTAGCTTCAGTGCTGTTGGCCTTTCCACCAAGGATATGGTTGCCTTATCTGGTTCGTTCTCTTCCCCCGGCAACTCTTTGAAAACATCTCTTAAACATAACAAAAAAGGGTCCTATTTGTCGGGTAATAGATTACTTCTTTAGGTATGGGTTGGTTAATAAACAGATGCCCTCCACCTCTCCGTAATAGGCCAAGGTATTTGAGTTTAAAAGGATAACAATAGGGGTAAATAATGTTGAAAAGTATAATATGGGACCTCTTTCCGTAACTAGAATAACTTGGTACAATGTACTAATAGTGTAAATATTTTTTATACTGTGATCGATATAAACAAATTACTCAAATCCTTTCTAATAGGCAATTTTGTGGTTATGTTTGTCAGGAGCTCACACCATTGGACAAGCAAGGTGCACTAGTTTCAGGGCACGCATATACAACGAGACCAATAACTTGGATTCATCACTAGCAAAAACCAGGCAAAACAACTGCCCAAGAAACTCAGGCTCAGGGGACAACAACTTGGCACCTCTTGATCTTCAGACTCCTACATATTTCGACAACCATTATTTCATTAACCTTGTAAGCAAAAAAGGTTTGCTCCACTCTGATCAGCAGCTCTTCAACGGCGGATCGGCCGATTCAATTGTGAAATCATACAGCGACAACCCCAGCAGTTTCGCAACTGATTTTGTGACTGCCATGATTAAGATGGGTGACATCCGTCCCCTTACTGGATCTAAAGGAGAGATCAGGAAGAATTGCAGGAGGATCAACTAATTTTGCTTCTTTAATTTGCTTATATGAAAATCTGTTGATTTGGAATCTTCTATTTCTCGTGTTCTTTTTTGTTTTGACTTCTCAAGTTTTAGTTTTGTTTCTTGATTTGTAGGCTCATTGGCTGTCACTCCGTTACAGCTTAAAGTGCCACTTTTTTCTACACTTGCAATGTGCTATATTTGTGTCGTGTTTCAGATCTATGAATAAAATACCTTTTTTGTAAAAAAAAAAAAAAAAAGTATTCATTAATAGTATTGCTCTTGATTATTTTTGCT